CATGCTTCAAAAACTTCCAACCACTAAGTAAACAAGCACTCAGAGAAATCTAGTTTTAATGAAAGGCTCTGCATCACTGGCTGTACATCTAGGAAAAAAACCACTTTTCTGCTCTGTATTACGTCCAAAATAGGTGATGAAGTTGAATGTTACCCATTTGAAAAGCACAGCTTATTTTCAAAAGCTTTAAGTAAATGGTTCTCAGATGCCTCCTTCTCAGCAAGTCATTAGGCTGTATCAGCACCAATATTTACAGATTTACAAGATCACCACAAGTTTGGGGGGTCACTGGCAGGAGTGGAAACCACTCCCTGCCGGGCCTTGGAGGAGCACCCCTCATTGACGTGGCTTTGAGGCCTTGGTGTTCCACTCCCCTGGCTCAGGGTGCTGGGGAAGGGCCTACTCCGCAGTCAAGGCCTCTTGTCAGCCTTTATTCTGTTCAGCCATGACCAAAATCAGCGACAGATTTCTGTTGGGAGGAGAAATTAGAAATGTCTCATTTGGAGCAAAAGAGGAAGTGGATGCAGTTGACCAGAGGGCGCTCTCGGTTCTGGACTGAGCCATGTCTGCCCTGCAGTGAGCGCCCGGCCCACCTCCCAGGACTGTGGTGAGCATCCCAGGGGGCACCAGGTGTCAGTGTGCTTGAGGGAGAGGGACCAAAGCAGATAGTCTCTGCTCAGAACGTTGTAAGGTCCTGAGAGCTCAGGACTCTCCCTTTTCATCCTTAGGATTCTCTAAAGGTCTTCTGCACAGTGATAGCCACAAAATAGGATTTCTATAAATGGTTATGTGCTGACTGAGTGGACACATTCGGGAGAGTGAGAGAGAAGCTGGCTGAGTAGGAATCAACAGGTGTTTTCACAGTGCAGGGAGCACGTTGGTGTGGGGGACGTGCTTTCAGGAAGGCTGGAGCACCTCCCCAGATCGCTCCGGCATCATCTCCCCAACTCAGGGACTGGCCAGGCAAGATGATGGGAAACCCATCACAGATGACCGCGCAGAGGGTGGAACAGGCAGGAGAGGCTCTGGGGCTACAAGCTACAGAGAAGCCTTCAGACAGACTTGACCAAAGCAAAGCCATCCTGAAGGCACCTCCCTCCTCCTGTTTTCCCTCTCTCCTTGATTCCCCCGCATGGTAACCTGAGGGCAGTCACGGGAGGGTCATTTTTTGAAAATTGTTGAAAAGTCTTCACATTGAGAGAATTTGACCCTGTGGAGCAAGTCCTCTTTACTCCCTTCTCAGAGAAGATTCTGAGGGGGGAAAAAAAGAAAGAAAGAAAGAAGGAAGAGGGCCTCCCCTGGTGGCGCAGCGATTGAGCGCTGGGCTGCGAAGCTGCCCGCAGCCTCTGCAGTGCCGGTTCGATCCCTGGCCGCCAGCGAGGGTCCCACATGGCGCGACAGACCTCTCCTGCCGTGCCCGCTGCTCCCCTCAGCAGTGTACTTCGTCAGTCTGTCTGTTCTGTTCCCTGCTCTGGCTTTGGTGGATTCTCTCACCCACCCCCCACGCTTCTGACTGTACCCAGTGCTTGTATAGATAAATAAATAAATCTTAAAAAAAAAAAAAAGAAGAAGAAGTAAAAAAAAAAAAAAAAAAGAAGGAAGGAAGATCAGAAGATAGGGCACGGGATGATCTGAGGCAATAGAGAGTCGTGAGGGCCTCCAATCAAAATGAGAGCCTGATTCTCCGAGTATATATTCAGGAGCTAGGCCAGAAGCCCTCACACAGCCCCAGGGCTAATGCTCCTGAAGCCAGAGCAGGGGCTTGAGGGCAGGCAGGACAAGAGTAGGGGTCCCCACACATAATGTCCCAGGCGCCACCGAAATCCGAGAAGGGAAATGAAAATTAAGCAGGGGGACTTAGTTATCTGTACCCACCCCAGTGCATGGGCAGAGTCTGCTTCTTGATAATTATGCACGTATGGGGAATTAGACTCTCCCAGGTAGGTTTGGGGGAAAATTGCAAATATATGGGTCTCACCCCAGCACATGAGTGTGCCCAAGGATAGTCCCTAAGGTTAGTCCTGCGTAGTTACGGTGATGTTAATGGGCAGCCAGGCTGAGAACCCAGAGAGGGAGCAGAAGGTCTACCATCTCTGTGTGCTGCTGGGCAAAGCCTTGCCTTCCACCCTCAATTCTTCCATCTCTTGGGTGGAAGAATTAGTGTGAGATTCTTGTACCTGCCTTTATTCTCGCTGTGTTGGGATTGCTTTTCTCTCCCATTCACCTGGGAAATAAACCTACTCCCACAGGGTCTCCTTCAGTTCATTGGCATTCGGGGTTGCTTCCTGGAGGGAAGTCTTTGGAAGCAGAATAAGTGGCTTTCCTTAACAAGACAAGCTGAAGCAGCCAGGGAAGGTTCCCCTGCAATATCCTCAGGAACCAAATAACCCGGTTCTCCTCCCAGCCCACCAGCCCCACACCTGGTCGGTGCTGGGCATCACCTCCCCTGTCAATCCCATTAGGCTTCCCCAACTCTCCCTTCCCTGCAAGCCCTCCTTCCCCAAATCATGCTCCCAGTGGGAGGATTCTCTCCCTTCTCTGTATGCCATCAGGATTTCTCACAGGTCCTGCCACTGAGTCCCTCTCATTCAACTACATTATTAGCTCCTTGAGGTTACTTCTGCTTTTTACTCCTGTAACTCCAAGAGAAGGTTCTCGGTGGGTGGCTGCTGACTATTGCGCAAGTGCTTCTGATCCCTTTACCTCTGACAACTAGAAAGAGGAAATGTAGTTAGCAGGTAGCAACTCTTTCTGAAAGATCTGCATTTCCATTCTGAGAATTGGCTCTTCCTTCAATCAGCCAAGATGTGCTATTACACTTACAACCTATCGTGTGACCATTATTAAAAAAGACTTACACATAAACGTTTATAAGTAGCATTTGAATATCATAAACCTTCTGTCAAAGCTGGAGAAAAGGCCTCCAGCAGCCTAAAGCACATGCTGGCCAAAGGCTGTCCTGTTGCCACCTGCGCTTTCTTACCAAGCCCCTGGCTCTCACGGTGGCAGGCCCACTCAGGGAGCTGAGAGCCAGGGGCCTGGAGTCAGAACACTCAGACCCAAAGCCAGCATCCTCCACGTGTGGCTGTCCATCTCATTGCTTGTCAGAGACACTCCCTGGGCATCGGCTTCCTCAGGTAAATAAAGGAAAGAATAACACCTCCCCCGAGTGAAGTTTTGAAGATTAAATGGGTTCCGTGACGTGAGCACCTAGTAAGCGCTCAGCAAGTGTTGCCGTCACTGTGGTTTAGGCTGGAGAAGCAGCTTGTCCTGGAGCTCTCCTATATTCTTTGTGACTTGGACATATGAGCCTCCAGGTCTCCACGGTCCTCTGTATCACATTCAAATATTGATAATGCCTGATGCCCATTTCACAGAGTTTCAGTGAGATTATGTGATTATTCAGTGAGATTATTTCAACAAGAAAAACTTTCATGAACTGTAAAAACTTGTCCAAATATTGGGTAACAAATGATATCTCATTTTACCTGCACTTGTATGATCAATTGTGTAGCCCATCATGCCTTGGATAATGGCTTTTTTTTTTTTGTCTGCTTCCTCCATTAACCCCTTAAAGCAAAAATCACATCTTGCTCTCCCATCACCCGTGATGTTTGGCCAGATGCCCACACATGGTACAGACCCAAAAAATAGGAAATTTATTGTGTGTCTATCCAGCATGCACTCCAGGAGCTTGTTCCCCATTGGACTGCACTGGGAGGACTAGCCCCCTACGACAGAGGAGCTTCCCAAAGGGCACACCTGTGAGCAGCATCTGCAAGAAAATATCTAATCCCCAGGTGTCCTGTGGGGATACTCTGGGCTGTGCTCTGCTCTTGGGATCTTCCTTAACTCTGGTCTTCCAGGCTCAGCCTATGGTCTCCCCACCTTCACGAGGTCTCTGAATTCATGAATTCTTTTTTTTAAAGATTTTAAAGAACTGGGGTATAGGCCAGAGATGCAGAGGGGTGAGAGACAGAGTGGAGAACAGAACAGGCAGACTGACTGAAACACACTGCTGAGGGGAGCAGTGGGCGAGTCAGGAGAGGTCTGCTGCACCATGTGGGTTGCTCCCTGGCCATCAGGGGATTGAATTTGCACTGCAGAGGCTGCAGATTTCTTCATAGTACAGTGCTTAACCCCTTGCACCACCAGAGAGGCCCCCTGAATTCATGAATTCTTACTCTTGACAGGCTATACCAATTTAGTTGCCCTAAACAGTCCAAACTGGGAAACTGAGAAGCCAGCAGTGACCTCAATATAATGCAGCAGTGACCTCAAGACCTTGTTTTCTTTCTCCCCATGTTGGAATCGCCCCAAGGCAACTTTGGTTTTTTGTGCCTCTGCTCCCAGCTCCCAGTGGAGGGGGTCTCGAAGGATGCCATTGGCCTGATGGTGTACTGTATTTCTGTATCTTTCAAAACACCCACTTAGCGCTGTGCAGACAAAGCTCTGGATGGAGTTCCTGATTGGAACTCAAAGCACCAAGAAAACCAAAATGAGTGGACTCCATGGGAGATTAATTGCATAGGAGCCTGTTGACTACATGGCTGAAGCTGGCGTTTTTGGAACGGCTGCTGCCTTCACATTTCCTGGTGGAAGTGGGACAGGTCAACATGCAACCCAGAGTTGTAGATAACTTTTGCCCACACATCATTCATTTTTTGGAGGTTGGCTTGAAATTGAGGGGTGTGTGTGTGCGCGCATGTGTACGTGTGTGTGTGTGTGTGTGTGTGTGTGTGTGTGTGTAACCGTGCCTTCCGTAAGCCTCGGCGGTCTCTGCACTCTCTTCAAATGGGCTGATTACACAGAGGATGTGGACAGTGGAGTTTTTCCTGTTTGATGTCACACTGCTACCCTTTAAAAGCCCCAGGGAAAAAGGAGGGAATCCAGCCTAGGAGCCTCAGGCCAGATTCAGGCAAAGGAAGAAGTGAAAAGGCCTGGAGTCAGGGAGGCAGTGTCAGGTTTCAAACTCAGCGCCAGCCACTCAGAGAGCAACAATGTGGGGGGCCCGCCTGGGGCTCCTGGTCTGCCTCCTATGCTGTGCAGCCAGAGCCTATCCCAACGCTTCCCCGCTGCTGGGCTCCAGCTCCGGAGACCTGACCCACCTGTACACGGCCACAGCCAGGAACAGCTACCACCTGCAGATCCACAAGGATGGCCACGTGGATGGCACACCCCACCAGACCATCTACAGTGAGTAGGGGCTTCCTCCAGGCTGGGGAGAAGGGGGTGTTCTTTTGTCCTTCTACCTCAAAGGACTCAGGGAGGCCTTGAGCTGCAACAGGGGGCCAAATTCAGCCTCCTAGGGTCTTGTCTCAAATCCCTATGTGTGTGTTACTGTGAGAAGATTCTGCTACCTCTCTAACGAATGTCTACCAGTTTCTCCAACATGAATAATTTGTCTTAACTAAAAAACCTCTTCCCAAAATATCCATTTTCTCTTTGCTCTATCCAAAGTCAAAAAACTGTACAGAAAGAATGGCAAGGTGGCTGAGAGGAAAAGAAACCAGATAGGTCAATAGACAATGTTTTAGCTCACGAATTCGGGAGTGGGTTAGCCTTGAAGTTTGTAAAGAAGATTTGTGTGTGTGTGTGTGTGTGTGTGTGTGTGGATCAAGAATGAGAGTAATGATCTCAGGGGCTCTTCCTACACTGAGTTGCTAGTGTGACGGCCTTATAAAAATTCTCAGGCAAAACTTACCACAGACTGACTTTCCAGATATGTGGTCTTAATGATTCTGGCCAAGTACATGGTCCCTCCATGCACTCATCCATCCATCCACCTACCCACCCATCCATCCTAGGAGCTTCAGAGCTCCATACCATTTTGGTGTGAGTTGGTAATTCTCCCTTGTGGAACTAGTTAGGAACACATTGGCAACATGAGGCAACTTGGGTGTTTTTAAAGATTAGGTTTGTGGAAAGTTGGTGCACAATTCACAAGAGTCAATTGGTGAACTGTGATTCAAATGAGGGCCCGTTTGTGTGCACCCTATAAGGGATAGTGGGATGGGAGGGGGATATTAAAAAGATAAGCTCTTCTATTTTAGGAAAACATGTACAAATTACCTTAAGGATACAGGAAAATGCAAATAGATTCAATATTAACCAAATCAAAAGAAAGAGTGCTCGCAGTCTGTTTAATTGAAGAAAACTTTTTTTAGGAAGAATGATCTGCCCTGTATTGTTTTAATGAATGCAGCAATCATTTGCTGGAGGCTTGCTGTATGCAAAGCCTTCTAGCTGCTAGGAATCAAAGGTCCTTATACCTGGTAGTAAGATATGTGACATGCAAAGTCAGCAGTTGAGAAATTTCCCAGTGACAGCGGAGGGTGTCGTGAGATCACAGGAGGAAGGAAGGATCTCCAAATACTAAAGAGGCAGGATTCAGGAGTCAACATCTTGAAGTCAAATTTGAGTCTAGTGGCAGAAATAAAATGAATCTGAATACACTCAAGGCAAGCACAGAGGTGCTCATTCAATGTGTAGATAACAACCTACAATGTAGCTGACATGCAAATGCAGGTGTTAGAGGGGCTCCCTGACCTCAGCACTGAGCTGGGGCTGGGACAGCAGAAGAAGACACAGCCCATCTAGCACCCCAATTTTAGACTTTCATCCCAGCTCATCTCCCACCTCATTTTTAGGCTTTTAGGTGATAGCTCTGCTGAAAGACCACTGCAATTCTAATGCAACACGGTAGGTGATTTAAAATGCCGGATGGTGAAGTATGGTAAATTATTTTGATTCCCATAGATGGAACGAGCTGCAGACAACCAGAAAATGCTCATAAAAGTTGCTTAGAATCATGGAGTCCCTTCACTGAAAGGACCCCCCCACCCCAATTTCCTTAGAGATGTGAATGGGACAAGAGCAGAATTCACACTGAGCAGGCAATGTGAATTGAACAACTTTCCCCTTAAATACTCACTAGCATCCACCCTCCAGGAGGCACTGCATACTAGCTGGAATGAATTTAAATGACTAAAAAGCAGCAAAGTGAATGGAACTAATTTTAGTGTTGTTTTTTTTTTTTTAATAGAAATGTGATTTAGTTTGTCAGGTGTAGACACTAGCTAAGCATTGTGCCTCTGAAAAAACACAAACTTGGTTTATCCAACCTTTTGAACTGTTCAAATAAGTGACTGTGTACACACACACATAAGTTTACACACTAAGACTTAAAAATTACCAAAAAGAAAAGAGGTAGGCAACCCAGCCAATCGACAGAGCAGTGAAGGATTTGTGATTGCCTCCTCAGCACGTTTACACCATGCCCCACACTCCTGGGACACGGCAGGTGCTTTCTACCTCATAATTCACATACTTTTTGCAGGGGAATCTGGGTCACTTGTGCTTTAGTAAATTCTTGCTGCATAGGCAAGCGCCCAAAGCACATTGTGAAATGATCTGCAGACAGGACCCCAGAAACTCCCTCGGGGCTCAGCGCCAGGGTCAGAGCATCTTCTGCGTGATTATACACAAGACCACCTCCCCACCCCCACCCCCACTCCCTGGGGCGGAAACAGCAGAAAGGAGATGCTTGTTATCCCTGGTTAATCAGGTTTCCTAAATCCTGATGGCTTCACCACCTCCACCTTCTCTGTTCACACTTTCTTTACTTGAAACTGAATTATCCTCAGTCCCATTGACTCTTCAAAAAATACTATCTTTCCTTTGAGGAACTGTAGCACTTTATATCTATCATTTGTTTTTTTTTACTGTTTGCTGCCTCTGAGAATAGGACAGACTAGATCACTTTCTACTTTGAAGGCAGAGGTTGAGGTGAAGTGGCATTGACAAAGTGTGTTTATAGGGGATAAAAATATTATCTCATGACATCCCTGAGAAGGTCAAATGATATGATTGTACAGTATATGAGAAAAAAAAGGTTAATGAACTTAGATAACTGGCTCAAGGTCTCAGAGGTAGTAAATGACCTTGAAGACACCTTGACTCTGAATCCCAGGCTTCTCCCCAGGGTGATGCGCTCAGATCCTCTCCATCACAGAAGGACATGTCTGCCGAGCCTGCCTGCTTCTCACAGACTGTGGCTCCAGCAACCAAGAATGTGTTCCTTCCTCCTGCCCAATGCTGCCCCTGAATCTGTGCATTGTGAAAACGCGCCTTCTGAAGCAGCACAGGGAAGAGACAATGTACCTCTTACAGTTTCTGAACTTACACTTTTGATCCTGTGGGTTTGCTTCAGTGGGTGTGTCCTCCATGGGTCTGCGTCAGTGGGCATGGTCCCAGTTCCTCTGCAGGCTGTTTTCTGTAGGGACTGGAGCTGAGGACCAGGAACGTGTCCCACACATGCTGCCACGCAGTTACAAAGCTAGCAGGTGGCATCCTTGGTCCCTGAACCCCAGACCCTTGGTTCTTGGTTCAGTGACCCCTTCTCTGACCTACTCAGGGACTTCACCAGAAGGAGACCCCACCAAATGAGCAAAGGAAAAAGGCCAGGAAGGAAGAACACAAGAAGAAAATTCTGTGCCTCCCAGGGATCGATTCAACCTGGAGAGATAAACCCTCTGCTCCTAAGTAGCTTGCTCTAGGGAGGCACTAAAGCATAAGCTTGGTTAAGGGAAGGTGGATGCAATTCATGCTGCAGGTGAGGTGTCCCTGGGGAGCTGAGGTGCCAGGGGAGCAGAGTCAAAAGGCTAATTCATTATGTGAGGAACATTAGGAACCTCAGGTGACATCTGAACCTGACCTTGATGTTTTGTAGCATCAATAAACAGAGAAGGGAGGGAAAGGTAAACTCTAAAACAGTTCTTGACATATAATGGGCACTGGCCAATGCATCGTAGACTATCACACAGCTATCTGGATGGAGAATCTCAGGCTCTATACACCAGCTCAAAAGACACCTCAAAAGACACCTCAGCACAGATTTAAAAATCACAAAGATTTGGGAGAATGCCACCAAGTAAAGAGGCAGCAGGCAGGCAGATGGCTGACCTGTGGGGACAGTCCAGCACAAAGGCATGCCGAGTTGCTCAGAGCATGTCCTGTAGGCACGATGAATAGGGGAGAGGGACACAGGGAGCCTCAGAAGAAATGAGACTGAATAAGTACATACAAGGGGAGGGTTACGTGAAATCACCATTCCTCTTAAAATCAAAGGTATTTCCATGAAGGTTGGTTTTCAGGGGGGCTTGGAGGTGGGACTGGATGCCCAGTAAGTGTGTAACCTGGAGGATTTTCTGTGCAGGTGCCCTGATGATCAGATCGGAGGACGCCGGCTTTGTGGTGATCATAGGCGTGATGAGCAGAAGGTATCTCTGCATGGACCTCAGAGGCCACATTTTTGGATCTGTGAGTACCTTGCCGTGCTGGTCACCACTGGCAAACGGTTAGTTTCATTGCCAGAACAGAGAATCGTAGCTTAAAGATTCCAAGGAACTTGTGTTTCTACTTGACACTTGATTCAGTCCAAATATTGATGCTCAGGTTGAGACAGCAGGGGTTGCAAGCCAGGCAGTCGGCTTCCGGACCCCAGGCTTGCAGCCTGTCTGACTCACCTACTGGCGCCCACTTTCATATTTAACACAGGTACCCGGTTTGCCAGTCCTCTCCTGGTGTCATCCAAGAAAGGGCAGGAAGCCAGAGGTGTCTTTATAATTCTGCAGCCACACCTTCTTGACCTTGACCCCGGGCTAGTCCTCCTACTTCCCTAAACTGCACTTGCCTCTCCCTGAAAAAGGGAAGCGGATGGGCCATGCGCCCTGTGGGGCTCCCTCTACAAAGATCTATAATTATCTCCACTCCAGCTGTGATGGCTGGTCACCCAGATTTGTGAGCAAAGCATTTCCCCAGTATAGGTTGCAGACATAGTCCGAAGGATTTTGAGATAATGAAATAGAAGAACAGCTTCTCTTGGGAGCCTCTAGCCACCAGAAAGACCCACTAGGAATTCCATGAGAACAATGACTTTCTTTTTGCTTATTGCTCTAGCCCAGCACTGACAAGATCAAGTATCTATCTGTTGAACATAGAGGCAAGCAATGTCAGTACCTGGTGCCCATACTTTGGCACACAGCGAGTTCTCATCTGTAAAGTACTAACTGTAGAGTCTGAGGATGAAATGAAATGATGTGTGAAGGCCCAAGTAGGCACTGGGTGAACCTGGTACTAAGCAGAGGCACAGAGGGCTCACCCTAGGTGGCCTCTTGCAGAAGTTCACGCCGCTGGTTTCCCATCATGTTCCATCTCTGGTGCCAGGGCCCTGGTTTATGTATGACCATGCATACGCCTCCCCATCTCCTTTGTGCAGGTAAAGAGACAGAAAAATGGGGGATAAGCTCTAACGTAGCCTCCCTCCAGCAAGCCGGCCCCAGAAGCGCTGTAGCTCTGCCTGCCTGGTCTGGGAGCAAGCCAGGGGCCCGGTGGGCAGCAGGCCCAGAAGCGGGAACTGTGCGTTGTGCTTAGGCCATTTGAAAGGCACTAGTCAAAAATCGCTTTCCTTCAGAAGGGAATAGGGCCAAATGGCCAACAGGCATATGAAAAAATGTTCAACATCACTTGTCATCAGGGAAATGCAAATCAAAACTACAACGAGATACCATCTTACACCAGTGAGAATGGCACATATTAAAAAAACTAGCTACAACAAATGTTGGTGAGGTTGTGGAGAAAAAGGAACTCTTCTGCACTGTTGGTGGGAGTGCAAACTGGTCCAACCACTGTGGAAAGCTGTGTGGAGATTCCTCAACCTGCTAAAGATAGAGCTGCCATATGATCCAGCAATTCCACTCCTAGGTATTTACCCAAAGGACACAGAAACAGTAATTCAAAAGGGCACCCGCACCCCTATGTTTATAGCAGCACTGTTTACAATAGCTAAGCTTTGGAAACAACCCAAATGCCCAAAAATAGATGACTGGATCAAGAAGATGTGGTACATATACACCATGGAATATTACTCAGCATTCAAAAAAGATAAACACATGCAATTTGCAGCAACATGGATGGAGCTGGAAGGGATCATGCTCAGCGAAATAAGCCAGAAAGAAAAAGAAAAATACCGGATGGTCTCACTCATAGCAGGAATTTAGAAAACCTAAATAAGAGACCAGGAAAAAGACTAATTATAATAAAGTAAAAATCAAAATCAACAAGCAACTATAAACCAGAGACACACTAGGCAGGTTGGGGGGTGGGGAGAGGAAGTAGGATCAAAACAAGGTGGGTGGGAATTGTATGGGGACTATAACCAAGATGAAAATGCATACATTGTGCAAAAATGAAAAATGATGTAAAATATATATATATATATATATATATATATATATATATATATAAAAGAAGAGAATAGGGATTAGATGTCCCTCCCAAGAGAGGCTGCCCACATCATCGCTTCCCTCCAGGGCACCCGGCTGGCAGGCTCCGAGCGTGGGCAGGGGCGGGGCCAGGGCCCAGACTCCCGCCTTCACCTGCTTGCTTGCCCTTTCAGCATCACTTCAGCCCGGAGAGCTGCAGGTTCCACCAGCGGAGGCTGGAAAACGGCTATGACGTCTACCACTCCCCGCAGCACCGCTTCCTCGTCAGCCTGGGCCGGCCCAAGAGGGCCTTCCTGCCAGGCACCAACCCCCCACCTTACTCCCAGTTCCTGTCTCGCAAGAACGAGATCCCCCTCCTGCACTTCAACACCCCCAGGCCCCGGCGCCACACCCGCAGCGCCGAGGACAACTCGGAGCTGGACCCGCTGAATGTGCTGAAGCCCCGGCCCCGGATGACCCCCGCGCCCGCCTCCTGCTCCCAGGAGCTCCCGAGCGCGGAAGACAACAGCCTGGTGGCCAGTGACCCCTTGGGGGTGGTCAGAGGCAACAGGGTGAACACACATGCTGGGGGGCTGGGCGTGGAGCGGTGCCGCCCCTTCCCCAGGTTTGTCTAGGCAAACAAGAAAGGGGCTCCTTCTAACCAATCTTTCCCCAAACTAAACCAGCTTCAAGAGACTGACGCCTTTTACGCTCCAAGGAAGGGGCAGGTGGAGCTGATGTGTGGAATTAGCTTCTCTCCATTCCCATCCCCAGGAGGTCCCCTGAGAATCTGACTTTGAGGCCTGAATAATGGGTTCCCAGCTTCCTTGCCCCACCTATGGGTGAGGATGAATTAAGAAACCCCATGGGTAACACAGAAATTTCCCCTTCACCAAGGAGGAAAGAAGGGGTTGTGGGGTCCCCAGGCCCTCTTACTTGTCCCTATGCCTCTCCTCATCCGTTGAGCATTTAAAGCAAGGCAAGGGTTTAGTGGCTTCACTGCACCCCAGGTTAAGGATTCACCCCTCCTTGGGTTTCTGTTCTCCGCCTGGCATTTGAGTTTGGCCTTTGACCTTGTAACCTTGACCTTGGGCATGGACAGCTGAACTGGGCACATTGATGAAAATCCTAATCTCAAGTCTTTGGTCCTTCTTGAGTATCACCGGAGAGTCTCCTAAAAGGTCAGTGGTTGGTGGTCAAAGCTCGACTAAAATGCCCTGGAGAACAGAATCGTGGTTAGAACACTCTCCCTTCACGACGCCCCTGCCATGCTCTCTCCGGTCACGCAGCCAGAGCCGAGGGCCCAGGGTGCCCTGGGTGGCCCCACGTGGCCCCGACAGCCTGTCTCTTTGGCTTTAGGGAATGGGACCTAAGTTTTTGATACTGGCTCCAACCTGGTAGGATTTGTTTTTCAAAATGGAAACAAGTTCAAACTCTGCTAAAAGGCATTGAATGAAACCTCTCCTTCCTTCCAAGTTGAGTAGCAACCCATCCTGGAGGCATCATAGAAATCTAGTTCTATAAATCCAGGGGAGGGGTCCTTGACACAAGCTGCTCTGGCTTAGTTCCCTATGGACTGGGAAAGCGTGTCCTGGTGTCTCAGTGAAGTGGCCTTAAGGACTCAGGGTGGGGAGGGACTCCAGGGGCCTAGAGTAGGGGTTGTGGAGAGGGCACCTATCACCGACCTGCTCCAGTGGCCAGAGGGTTACCTGTGACACATACAGCACCCTGAGACTGATGTGTCTGGGTCTTGATCCACTTGGAAATTTGGGGGGCAGTAAATGAAGTCAGTTCAGCCCCAGGAGCCCGATGCTACTGTGAGGAAAACAAAGCCTCACCTAACAAACAGCTGAGTACCCCACAGGGGGCGCGATGCTGGGCCCTCACCTCCCTCACCCCTGCCTTGGCCTCTCCTACAAAGGGTCTCATTTTCCCCTGGACCCTTCAAAGAGCTGATTAAACCACCAGCGTAGATGTAAACAACGGCTTCTTCAAGTTCCCAGTTTTCCCACCCATACCACCTACCTGGTCTTACGGATCCATTCTTTTCACTTCTGAGAGAAGCATCGGGTAACTGCTTGCCCTGATGGTTTTCAGATGAGCTTGAAGGAGCAGCCCCTGCGCTGAAATACTAAAACTCTGTATAATACTATATAGCAGTGCATGGCAGATATTTTCCTGATATAATTTTCATTTCCCAGTGGAGATGTTCACTGCATAAAAGCTTTGAGAAGGTCCCCAATACTGATACCTAGATGGAAAAAAATCCCAAAAGAGCTTCAGTAGAAAACCAGTTGTCATCTCCAAACTCAGAACCATTTATCAAAGATTTTCTCTTTGATCTAAGGTATCTTCCCCAGCCCTAGCCCACCCCCACTACCTATGACCCTCAGCACGTGGCAATATTTATTTATTTATTTGGAAGGTTTTGCCTATTACTCTATATTTATAGATATTTATAAAAATGTAAGCTTGCCTTCTTCCTTTCTTCTGTTTAAATGAAAAATAAAATTTATCTCAGCTCCTGTTAGTTTTTCCTCTCTGTATTACAATGCAAAAGCGTGTCAGAAGACAAGAATGAATGGGATTATGGGAGAGGAGCACTAGGAAAAATCTAGAGAAGACAAAGTTGAGAGGCAATATCAAATTTTGAAAAAATTCAAAATTTCTTCCACTCATGAACAGACTCAGCAATTTTGATTACTCCAGATAGAATTCTTGAAAACAAGGAAAATGTTCACAAATATTGAATTTCTGATCACTCTGGCTCTCAACTGCTTCCTTTAAAAAGAGCACCTTTTTGCTAGTTTGAAAATTCTACATACTGTATGATTCCAACTATATTGCATCCTGGAAAAGGCAAAATGATAAAGAAAGAGCATCAGTGTTTGACAGGTTCAGAGGGGAGAGAGGGAAGAATGTTTAGATGGAGCACGGGGATTTTTAGGATAGTGAAACTATTCTATATGACAGTATCCACATGAGACTGTAATGGTGCAAACAAAGCATTACACATTTTTCAAAACCCATGGAATTGTGTAATGCAAATAGTGAACCCTAATATAAACGCATTGCTTTGACTAATAACAATGTATTGATATTCATCTATCAATTATAACAAATAATTTATATAAACCACATTAATGTAAGATGTTAAAAATATGTGGTTGAGGTAGGGGTGGTTGGGACAGGTGGGGGGAAAGGAATATACAGGAACTCTGAATTTTTGTTAATTTTCTCTGTAAACCTCAGTCAGCCCTAAAATAAAGTCTATGGTTAAAAAGTAAAAAGTAAAATAAAGTAAAAAGAGCACCTTTTTATTTGAAAAATATATACAGGCACAACCATATGCATTTCCAGGGAGCCAGATGCCAGGTACTCATGCACACAGCATCACCGCCGTAGGAACCCCGATAGCAGGACGCGGAGGTAATGAGCCCACATGTCTTCCCCATCTGACGTTGAGTGTCCCCAGAATTCTTGCTTTTACTCTCTATCTGACCACTACAAAAACACAGGAAGCAAAGATGCTGCTACACATTTCCATCCCTCTGTACACATTCCATCTTTCTGCCTTAGGAGAACGGGACCGGGGGATGGAACCCCGTGGGTGGCAATCTCCCTGAGCCGAGAAAGCAGCTAGACTCCGTGGGGCAGGGTAAAAGAGAAGAAGCCAAGTAGAGAGGGATTGAGAAGCCTGCAGGAACACTCCGTGCAGCTCTCACACTGGGCTACACACGCGCAGGGAGAGACTCAGTGGGATTCCCTGCTCCGGCTCAGGGAGGGATACCTGAGACACACTAGAGATTTAACCAAGTCAGGGCAGAGAGACTCAGGCCATCATAAAAATCCTAAACATCTGTCTCTACACACAGAGCAAGAACTCGAACACATGGAGCAAGACTAAAGGGAGAAATAGACAGGAACAAATCCCAGTTGGAAATGGGAACCCCTTTTTTTCAGCAAAGGATGAAGCACACAGGCAGGACAGTAAGGACAGAGACATGTGAGCAACACTTAGTGACCGTCATGCAATTTATTTTCTAGAACACTGAACCCAACAAACAAGTTTCAACACAAAAGTTCAAAACCTGACGAATTATAGAATAAGTAAGCAAATTGGGGGGGGGGGGCCGGTCTCTCAGATTGGGGTCAGCCCAGTCTCTCAGGCAGAATTCCAAATAATCTGTGTGGAATCTCTGACCCCAAGGAGGAAAGCAGAAACCCCTACTGCACAGTGACCTCTTTCCAAAGACTACAGCATGGAAAGTGGGTAGAGAGAGTAAGTTTTCAGAGGGGAGACCTGACAAGCACTTCTTGGCCAGGTGACAAAGGTCAACAGAAAAATCAGCATCAACAAATCAAGTCAGTTTGTACAATCGATGAGGTGACAAAAAATGATATTTGGGGTCTTCCTTCCCAAAACCATACCCTCACTCCAGTCAGGAGGAAACATCGAACAGATTCCAGTGGAAAGGCCCCTGCAGAACTGCCCAGCGCTCCTCAAAACTGCCAAGGGCAGCAAAAATCAAAGTGAGAAATGATCACAGACAGAAAAAAACCTAGGGAGACAAGATAAGTGAATGTAGTGTGGATTGGGGCGGAGCTGGGGGTTTTGGAAGAGAAAAGGACATTAGGTAAAGCTAAGGAAATCCCAATAAACGATGAGCTTTGCTTAACAGGGGAAACTGTGGGGATATGAGAACTTGTGCTATTATCTACTCAATTTTCCTGGAAATCTAAATTCCAATTCTAAAAACTACAGTCTATTTAAATGTATGTATGGAAATACAAAGGACCTGCAATTGGAAGAGAAAGACAAAAATAAGGAAATAGACCCACATTTAAATGGCTGATTTTTGACAGAGGAACCAAAGCAATTCTGAAGACAAGGAAAGTCTTTTCAACAAATGGTGCTGGAATGACAGGACAGCAATGACAGACAGGATAACCAAGCATCTCAACCCCTTACCTTATGCCATACACAAAAATTAATTCCAGGTGTTTCAAAGATCTAAAAGTAAAAGGTGAAACTATAAACTTCTGAAGACAGAATGTTTCCATAACCAAGGGGAAGGCAAGGACTCTTACATAACACATAGAAAGCAATAACCATAAAACAAAGGTAAGCAGTCTTATGAAATTAGTCTCATGAAATTTTCTCATAAAACACTAGTAAGAATAAAATTACATTTTATTAACAAATTTAGACTGAAGTACACTTATATATAGAAGTACATGTATATACACACATACACGTATATACACACAGAAAACTGAAAAGGAATTGTATATACAGAAGGAACTCAAATTCAAAAATAAGAAAATAAACACAATCTTAAAAGTTAGCAAAAGAAGATACACACCCAATAAATATGTGGTCCACTATAACTAATGGCCCACCAGCATTAGTTAATAAGGAAATAAAAACTTAAAACCACTGTAAGATACTATTGCATACCCACCAGAATTGCTCAAATTAAAGACTGATATCATTGAATGCTGGTATGTGGAGCAAAAGGTGATTTTAAGTGGTATGTAGGAGAAAAAGAAATGTCCTCTTTACTGTACAAAACCAACCAATAAATACAGAAATAGTTAGAAAACTAGTCGACAGAGACTAAATGAGTGGGTAAAATGTTCATAAGGAACCAGATGAACTGAAATTTCATGTGGAGAGAGAGGGCATAAAAGCACGTACTTCCTGACAAGACTCACCAAGGGCACTGCCCTTCTGGGCTGCATAACCTGAATCTAACGAGAAAAATCCAACAACGAACCTGACTCTTTTTGCTAACAAAGTCAAGAAAGCAAAGACAGACTAAGGCCCAACTCCAGGTTAGTGGAGAAAAAAAGTGGCGTGACAACTAAGGGTAACATGTGGTTCCTGGATTGGATGCTGGACTCAGAAGAAAGTCAGCCAAAAGGAACATCAATGGAGTAACTGACCACATGTAAATACGCTGTGTGGATTAGAATAGATTCTATTTTTTTTAAAGATTTATTTATGCATACAAGAGCTGGGGTGTAGGCCAGAGGTGCAGGGGGTGAGAGTATTCACCAGAGACAGAGTGCAGAACAGGCAGACTGACTGAAATACACTGCTGAGGGGAGTAGCAGGCGAGACAGGAGAGGTCTGCTGTGCCATGTGGGTAGCTCCCTGGCTGGGGATTGAACTTCTGCTGCAGAGGCTGCGGACAGCTTCACAGGTTGCATCTTAACCCCTTGCGCCACCAGGGAGGCTCAGAATAGATTGTATTAATAGCAAATTTCCTGTTTTTTTTTTTTTTGTTCTTTTATGGCTATATGTAGGAGACACAATGAGAGAAAACAAGAAAGGGGGACAAATAGGGGGTAGGGGAACAGGAGTGGGAAGAGAAAGAACAAATGACAAAGCAGATGGGGCAAAACGTAAGCAGATAGTGAACACATCTGGGTGAAGGATGCACTGGAGTTCCTTGTATAATTCTTACAACCTTACTGCAGATTTGATAAAGCAAAGGTAAAAGGCTATCAGCACACGTACACATTACTGTATGTATTCTGCACATCACGTAAGGACATAGGACTCAGGGATATGGAGACTTGCTCACCCACAAAATGACCAAGAGCCAGGCTTAGAACTTGAAAGTAGTTCTCTTAATAACAAACCTTTCCTGTGTTACTGCCTAACCCCATCAGACTTTAACCATCAACAGATAACCCCACAGTCATAGCGTTAGTCACAAGGCTCCTCCACCACCTCCAGCTTCCACGCTCTCGGCTCAGTCCTCTCCTGTGTTCTCCCAGCACCTCTTGCATGGGTGAAAGATGCAAAGCAGGGTGCCTCCTCAGGGTCCCGAGCTCTCCACTCCCCGTCTGGGTGGCTCTAGTCTCAGGGATCTACACAGCCACTGAGTCTTTCATTATTTTGGTATAACTCTAAGTTCTTCCCAGTCTGCCCTAACTAAAGCAGCATTCCTCTTCCAGTCTGGATCCCCTGTCCTGCTTCACTTTTCTCAATAGCACCGACCCCCTTTGACATATGTATTTATCTGTCTTCCCTGACTGAATACAGGCTCCACAAGAATGGGGATAAAGCTATTTTTTGTTCATTGCTATATATTCAGTTCTTCTAATAGTTCTAATAATAGCCTGGCAGGTGCATGCCATGCACAAAAAGTATTTACTAGATGACTAGATAAACAAATGCATGCAACTGCAATGATTTGCAACAGATTTTTCAGCAAATTGACCAACCGATTCTGAAATATATGTGGAATAAAGGTGCATAAATAGCTAATGTAACTACAAAAATGAACAAGGGGACGTACTCATCACATTAAGATATGTGGTTGCAAGGCTACAGCATCTAAGTGTGCTACTGTCATGGAAACATACAGATCACTAACCAGAACACAGTCCAGAGACAGACTCCAGCAAGTGTGGGTGGGTGTATGTGGGTATGAACAGAGTAGAATCACGTATCGACTGGGAAAGAAGACTCCCAATAATGAAGCTGCAGTAACGGTTTCAGCACATGAAATAAAGAAATTTAATTCTGACCTTATACCATACAAAAATAAATTCCAGATAATTTAAAGAATTAGTATTCAAAACTCCTCTAGAACTGTCAGGGAGAAAAAGTCAATTATTATATGACCGCACAGAGAAAGCTTCTTAAAGACAGCAGGGAAAGAAAAGAAAAACATAAAGGACAAGATATATTGGTCTGACTTAAAAATACTTTTATGAAAAAAAATCTGAAGCACAAGTCAACCTGAAGATATCTGCAATAGTATTCCTGTAATTCACTAAGAAGAAGCCAAAGAGCCCAACAGAGAGCCAGGCAAAGAATAGAGAATGGTGATTTATCAGTTAGAAAATTCTAATTTCCGTACACACATGAAAAAAAACCAAAACGCCCAGACTCATTAGCAATAACAGAAAAAAAAGCTCACTGAAATAGCGACATACTATTTTTCACTTGTTGGATTAATGCAATCTCATCAGATAGCTTCATGCTGGAAAATAGAAATGTCTGATCACTGCTGGTGGGACAGGACAGCGCGGCCATTCTGGAGAACCACCTGGTGCCTGTCATCCTGGAAAGGCACACTTTCTATGACCCAGCACAGGGAGAGACATGAAAGGCTGCTTCCTGAGCCTTCTTTGTACAGGAAAACATTAAATATGAATAAACAAATAAAACATGCTGTATTTATTCAATAGGATGCAGTGGTTATCAGTCATTTGACTTGTACCTATCAACACGGAGCTCCAGGATCTACTGAGATAATAAAGTTACAGACAACTTGATGATATTTATGTACATTTAAAAAAAGTAATGCAAACAATACCATTTCCTTATGAAACAAGGTGAAAACGTGAAGTGTGGATGCATGCAAACTCAGGCCGGTAGCCGCCTCTGCAGGGAACAGGAGACAGGACAGTGAGAACTGAGCACAGGAATTTCTTTTTTTAAGGTAAAGTTTTTAGTTATGGAAGGTGGGAACATGAATATTTATTGTCTTTTCAATTCTTTTATCAAGTGTTTATTTGCAGCATGTATTCTCTGGAGCCTGATCACGTGTTCTGTTCACACTGTGGGAAGCTGGCAATGTTGGACACACTGAGGTCAGCACAATACTGAGCTTTAGATATGGTTTCAATGATCTTCAAAGTAAATTTTGTCAACACTCAATTTTAGCCTTAATGGTCAACTTAAGTGATAATCTTCTTAAAAGTTGAGACATGGTATTTATCAACATGATGACTAAAAGTAAACTACACTTACAACACATTCTTCATCTAGTGCAGATTCCTGAAGGGTCGATCTTATGTACAAGACTGTTAAGCACAATTCCTTTCCTCCAGTGCCATCTGGTGGGAATATGAAGCAACATCATCTGTACCCCGCACACACATACACACATACACACACACACAAAACCAGCTGTGGTTTACAAGATCAGACTTCTTGACCAAGCTCCCTCTTTTATTCTGAGGTTACTGGGTCCTACACTATTCACCATTTTCTTTAGTCTTCTTCAAACTACATCTTCAGCCTACAGATTAGACAAGCAGTGCTCTTTAGCTTGTCCTGCTCAGACATCTTGTTTTATGCTTTTTATATAAATGTCTTTACTAGACCATGCTGCAATCACAGTCTGCACTCAGCCACACTTCAAGCCCTTGAGCAAAAAATTCCAACAGTGGATTTTGATGTTAAACATTTTAGTGTCACTTTGCTTTATATAACTTGTAAACTTATGAAGGCAAGCATTTTTCATTGAAAGGACTTTAAAAATATAACATATATGTCACTATAAGTATGCAGTGGGAATTATAATTAGTTCTTTCTCCCAAACACTGGATGAGACAGCATAAAACATCCAGAATCTTATCAAGAGCAAATAAAATAGGCTAGAACACTGAAAAAAAGGGAAGAAAACCTAGTAAGGAGGTTATTAACCCCCCAGGTCGTAATACTGAGCTCTTTCATCCATTTATAATTTAGAGATGCAATTGAGCAGGGGGGTAAAATTACTCTGGAAAATGCCAACTATACTCAGATAAAAATAATTCAATTCCAATAGGTTTTCCATTAGTGTTTTATGTGGCTATGACTCCATTTGTGTTTTATAACCTGCTATAATAGACGTTCTTTAACTGCTTCCAAATCTGCACGAGCAGAGGACCAAAATAAATAAAGCCAAAGTTAAAGGCACTCCCTCTAGGGCTCAAAACTGTTAATTTTGATGTAGATTTAATTTTAGTGTGTTTCAGTTGCTCCATTTAGATGATCCAGTAGGTTCATACAGATACACTGAATTGTTAGCTTGACTTCTTTTCCTTTCTCAAAGTTTATGATAAAGACATTAATCCCTGTATTGGGACTGACTGACATAAGTTCAGATTTGCTCAGTGTTGCTGGTAAAGAACACTTAAGGTCAGTCAGAAAATAATCAAACAGGCTCCTCATGTATGCGCCGTGACTCACAACTAAGACACTGGCTACTAATCCTGGAGCACCGCTGTCTGAATTAAATTTGGAGGCATGGTTTTTTCCTAAAGGGAATATCTCAGCCAGAGAAGTTTCCAGAGAGTTGCTTGGAGCTCCTTGGGAATACTGCTCTTGTTGATCACCTTCTTTCAGGATCAATTGACAAAGAAATTCAAAAAAGTCTTTCCCACGCATTTTCACCTATAAGGAAAGAAAGAAGAGATGCATTAGTGACTGAACATTTAAACATCAAACTTAAGTGCTTGGATTTTCCTAGTGTGTCAACAGAAGCACTACCTAAGCAGATAAAACTCAATCTGTAGTCCTGTTCATTCAACCAGTAGTTCCATAGACAATATTGGTCTCTGGAAACATACTGGAGCACGCCTGACTTCAAAGCACTACGTCTAATCAAGTCAACAAAAGCTCATTTAACAAATAACGTTAGGGCCTCCCTGGTGGCGCAAGGGGTTAAGATGCAACCTATGAAGCTAACAGCAGCCACTGCAGCATGAGTTCAATCCCTGGCCAGGGAGAAACCCACATGGTGCAGCAGACCTCTCCTGACTCTCCTGCTGCTCCCCTCAGCAGTGTATTTTAGTCAATCTGCTTGTTTTGTTTCCCACTCTGTCTCCGGTGAATCCTCTCACCCCGCCCCCACACCTCTGGCCTGTTCCCCAGTTCTTGTATGCATAAATAAATAAATATTTTTTTGAAAAAAAAAAAAAAAAAAAGTAGGGCCTCCCTGGTGGCGCAAGGGGTTAGGCACCACACTATGAAGCAATCCACAGCCTCTGCAGCATGAGTTCGATCCCCGGCCAGCCAGGGAGAAACCCACACGGGGATGCAGACCTCTCCTGTCTCACCGGCTGCTCCCCTCCGCAGTGCATTTCAGTCAATCTGCCTGTTCTGTTCCCCACTCTGTCTCTGGTGAATCCCCTTACCGCCCTCACCTCTGGCCTGTACCCCCATTCTTGTATGCATAAATAAATTAATCTTTAATAAAAAAAAAATAATGTTAACCAGCAAAGAGTATGTGGCACTTTGGTTCAATTAGCACAACAACCAAACCTTCCTGTAAGTCAATGAACAGAAAATCTTTACAGGAAAGTTATGAACATAAAGGATGGAGGTAGAGGTAGGAAATCATCAGTTATATCATTCAAAAGCAGAATACTCCCAGAAATACGAGCCTGGTTAACCCTGCCACTCACAGAGCCCAAGAGGCAGGCAAGCCGGAAGATTCTGAACCTTGAATTATTTCACCTCTTGGATATTTTTACTCTCCTCGAACAGGACTAGGCTTGCTTCACGGGCAACCACTGCTCAAGCTACTGCTTCATATTCCCAGAGATTTCTTACCACAACCATCAGATAACATGTCCCTGAAATCCCTTTCCAGCAATGGCTGCCAACTTCACAGTAAAGATACAAAAACTTAAAAAGGAAAAAAGTGCTACTGTGCAATTGTTTGATGAACCAAGAACTTTCAAACTGACTAGTGACAATTAAGAAACTTCTAGTTTACACAATGAGTTCGATTTCAGCTCTGGTGGCACAGGCAGGTGTATCACCCTGCTACCTGCCAGTCCTACGTACCTGGTCCAGTGTCTCTCCTCCGGGTGGCGTGAACGAAGGGCACTCCTCCCCGGCCGCTTTAGCCATTGCCCGTAGCTCGCTTAGCGCCCTGCCTTCTGCACCCCCGTATTTCTGTAATGGTCCAACAGACAAAAGTGCCTCAAATGAATTTACAATACATCTAAGTCCATGTTTATGGCAAATGTAGAACACCGCCCCAGGAAGTCGACTAGCTCTCTTCCATGTTGTTATGGCTCCTCTGGAAGGTTAGGCTTCCTATAAAATACCATTGACACTTCGCGTTGCACACCATGTCCCAGTGGGTGGAATGGGGTAACTCACTTGGGCTAACCTAGGGAGCAGTGGGGCTTCATTGGACAAATACAGGGACGTGCAGATTCCAGGGCCAGAGACCAAGATGTGCAAGGCCCAGAGCAGCCGGCTTAGCCGCACGCACCATCTCGCTGGGGGCTAAAAGTAGTCCCCTGGGACGGGGCTTTCATCTCCATGCTTATATACATAGGAAAGGGAAAGCTCAGCTTCAGAGTGGTCAAGCAACTAGCCTGTGTTCTCACAGCTAGTAATTAGCAAAGTCAAAATCCAAACCCAGATCTATGTGACTGCAAAGCTAATTAGCTTTTTCGGTTTATACAGACTGAGCCTTATGAAAGAATACACAAGTTACAAAGAAACAAGTGGCCAAAAACATGGGAATCTACCTCGTTAGGAACCCAAGATGTGAAAATTAAGACGACACCTTTCACAAGTTAACTAAATTAGAAGAGACGACTAACATCTAGTGTTAATGTTAAGAGAGGATTCCTGCTGGATCATTCACGGAAGCAAAAATTGGCACAGCTTTTCTGGAAGGAAATTTATCTATCTATCTATCTATCTATCTATCTATCTATCTATCTATCTATCTATCTATCTATCAAAAGAACACACTAAGTGATTCATTTGTAGGAAATGCATTAGGTAAGCGTACAAAGAATTAAGTACAAAGATGTTTACTTTAATGTTATCTGCATCTGTGGAAAATTTAGTCACCACCTAGATGTCCTGCAGGAGTAATTTGGTTAAGTAAGTCATGCACCGTCTGGTTACTGGAATAATGCAGTATAATATCAAACAGGTGATATTACTGATGTGCATTTATGAGCACTGAAAAACATAGCAAGTCAAACTGGTTGCAAAATAATACAGGATTACATTTACAAAAATCCATGATCGGATGGATGGATGCATGGACAGATGGGCTAACAGACAAACACGAAACAAATCAGGAGCACAAATACCAAAATGTTTACATTGTGTGTGCAAGGTAGAAATTTCAATTGTTTTTAACAGCTTTTTCCAAACTGTTCTTACATTTAATTTCCTACAACACTGTGTTACTGGTACAATAAAATATTTAAAGAGATAAATCATCCTTCATGGTTTGCATTGATGATTGTGAGATTTCGGCACCACCGTCAGATATAAGTCTAACAGTTAAATGTTAATTTTTTTATGAGTGCATGCACACTTTGCCGCTGCTCTTCCTAGTCCTCCAGTCCGAGTGCTTACACCCTCTACCACACCTGGAGCAACCTTTATTATAAACAGGGACATTAAAAATCACTTGCTTTCCTTTTACAAGAATGGAAACATTTGGTGATTATTCCAAATGCTACGCTGAGATACGTTAGGCAATGAAGCCAGAGCAGTGAGGAGAAAACAGGAGCCCCGGAAGCTCCCAGCTGGGCTGAGATGGCCGCACAGCAGGGAGACAACCCCAGGAGGTAGTGACAAAGCCCTGTGACTGAGGGCGGCGCACGACACCCACAGCAGGGACGACACCCACAGCAGGGACGTGTAACTGGGAATCACAGAGGAGCCAGCCTCAGGGTGAGAGGAAGCTGGCCAGGTCTGTGGCAAAGTGAAGTACAGCTATAGGAGCTCCGAGAGGAAAGGACTTGGTGTCTGGGCAACACAGAGAAGACTCGTGAGAGGCATGTGGCTGATGGTCCAGAGCAGACTCCAGGGCCAGATGCCTCCAGCAGAATCCAAGCTCCACCAGACCAGTCCCTGCATGTAGACTTGACCTCTGTGCACCAATTTTAAGTCTGGGCACAGGGAAGCAAGAGGAGGTAGGAGGAGGCAGAGATCACACTACAGCACGTTGAGAGGCAGGTTAGTGCTCAAACAGCCTTTGAAGGCAAAAAAAAGAAGTGAACTGATTCATCCAGTGGCACAGCAGCCAAATTAAAAAAAAAAAAAAAATCACTCTGGTTGCAGTGTGGAGATTAGACTGGAAAAGGAGGAGCAAGACACAAAGCAGAAGAATCCCCATTCTGGCGTGAGATGATAGGGAACTGTGACAGCACTGGGTTTGGAAAAAGTGAAGGATGCACGAACCGTTTATGGCAGGATGCTGATGACTGATGACATGACAGCCTTACAATGATTGGACATGCAGTGTGGGAGGCAGTGAGGGGTCAGGGATAGATGGTTTGAACCATTGGGTAAGCATGGAGCTGGGTGAATAGAGCACTCCCCTGGCCTGAACACAGCAGAAAGCACTTTGATATGCAAGTGGGTGATAGAAGTCAGAAACGTCTATTGGGAAATCAGAGGAGAGGCTGAAACCACTCAGAGTACAGACTGAGACGAGGTCCATCTTGCAGTGCTACCTGCAGCTCAGACTATTTTTCTTTACAGCATCTGAGCACTGATTCCTGGGCAAAGAGCGAGCTTTTTGCCTAAGGAGTATTCATGCTGGAGCTCTAGCATATATTTTGAACTGTAACAGAGAACATGTGCAAGCTATGAAAAGCAAGGCTTTAAAAATCCCCAAAGTCATTCTACATTTCCATCCAGGAATAGAAGGAATCATAGGGCTGGCAGGGACATTTGTCAGCTAAAGGTCACGATCTTAGCACATAGCACAAATTCTGCCCTAGGAGATCTGGGGTCAAACCTCAGATCTGAAATTGCTGTATGGCTTTAACTAAACCTCAGCTTCCAGAAGACTCATTTCTGGCACATAAAACGAGTACACAAAAGTCTGTGCTTAAAGTCAGGGAGTACAATTGAGAAACTAAGGAAAGAACTTTTCACTTTTACTTTAAACTCTTTGGACTAAAAAAAAAAAAAAACTTTTCTGTACGTTTTAAATTCTTGCTTACCTTCTATATCGTGTTTTTATGATTTAAGATACTTCTCTCATATGATTTTAATAAATAAGATACCGTGTCTGTGTCAAGAGTACATAACAGTGACTTTCACACAGATCTTACCATGTTAGCAGTCTCCATATCTCTAGTAGGAATGCATTTACTTTCTAGCTTTGTGATGAACTGGATTGGTTCATTAATAACTTATGGTAAAGGACAATATAAGTTACTTACCCTTTCTCGAAGTCGAGAATCATACGTCACTGTCATATCTTTGCAAAAGTTGCTCTTCTCCAAAATCCCCTGCATGGTCTGCAAAATCAAGGCAACTGTTACTGTTCTCATAAAAATAATGATTCTTGCCAAAATGCCAACACAATACATTCCATCTTTGTAAATAAAGAAAGGCTAGAAACAATTTCCCTTTGCAAAAGTTACTTCTCTTCTGTGCTGCTTATCCTGTCTCCCAGGCCCAGTTCTGACATTTCCTGCTGACCCATCTTCTAGTTCAGTGGTCAGCAAACCAGTCTGCAGGCTGAATCCAGCCATGGCTTGCTTTTGTGAATAAAGTTTTATTAAGATGGTCATTGACGTACTGTCTGTGGAGGCTTTCAAGCACACCAGCAGCCATGACCGGTTGTGACAGAGACCATGGAACCCACAAAATGTAATTATCTGCAATCTAGCTCTTTACAGAAAACATTCTAGTTCATCAATTCCCATTCAGCTAATTTTAACCCTTGTTCTAGTCCATTAATTCTCCATTCATGTGTGGTCTAAAATGCTGTTAAACCCACTCGTCAAATCAATTTCAGTTACTTTTTCAGTTTTAGAATTTGCATTTGGTTCTTGTTTCTAGTTTCCAGTTCTCTGCTGAAATACTCAATGTCGCCTTTTACCCACACATGACAGAGTTCAAGTTCTGTGTCTGAGGGCTTGTACTAGTGGCGAACTCCTGTGGTGTGGCTGCTGCCTTTTGGTTTTGGCTCAGTTTTGTTCATGTTTCCTTCTCTCATTGAGTGCCGGTTATTTCTGATCATGAAATGCTGTATTTGCAAAACTGGAAACATTTGTCTATAATCAGCCTTACTTTTTAATCCCTCACACTCTTCTCAGGAGACATCATCATTACTGCTGTTTCACAAACTGTCAACACTTATTTATAGTCGCCTACACCATTCACCAATTCCTTTGTTCTCCATTCTTTTTTGAAGCTCAAAGCTTCCTTATGGAATTAGTTTTCTTCTTCAATTATCATTTGAAATTTTCTTTACAATCTGATTGTCTAAAATGTCTCCACTTCATCTACACTCCAGAAAATGTTTTGCTGAGTACAAAACTCACTATCCTTATTATCTCTCGATACAGTAAAGGAATCATCACTGCTATGACAAGCTTGCTGACAGTCTACTGGCGGCCTTTAGTGGATGATGTTTTTCCTGCTTATTCTTTGGAGTTCTGCAGTTTGGCTATGATAAATGTAGATGTGGGTTTCTTTTTAATTGTCCTGACTTGGATTTGTTGTATGTCCTGGATGTGAGCATTTACCGACTTTCAACAATTCTGTAAAATTGTCAACCATGACCTCTTCGAATATTGCCTCTTTCCGATTCTCTCTGCTATCCCCTTCAGACCTTTCATCATGTTCTTATCTTTTAAATCCTCATGTTTTTAATCTGTCACACTGCCACGTTTAAGTTACTAGCTTTACCTATAAGTTAAGGATCACTTCCGCTGTGTCTAACCCATGATTCAGTACATCCACCAGGGTTTTTTGGGTTTTTTTTTTTTTTAAGTTGTTCCCGTATTTTTAAATCAACTTGGAGGTATATTTTACAACAAAATATACCTATTTTAAGTTTACAGTTCATTGAGTTTTGATCATTGTATACACCCATCTAAGCAGTACCCAAAATCAAGATCTAGAAGAATTCCATCGCCCCTTAAAGATCACTTCACTGTGAGATTACAGGCCCACTCTGCCTGAAGGCCAATGTCTGAGGACAGTTGTTTCACAAATTTTGTCCAGTTTTCTAGTTGTTAATGGTGGGGGAAGGAGACTTAAATTCCAACCCTGTTATATTTCTATATTTTTTTACATAGCCCACCTTCCACTGAGCTTTTAGAAGTTGATCTGTTTTTTTTTTTAATCTGAGGTGATTTATTTTTTCTGCCATCTCTTCCCTAAGGATGATTCAGACACATCATTTATTTCTTCATAGCAACAAAGCTGAGTATTTTAAAAACTGTACCAAGAGTATAATACTGATGTCTTTGTGGGTTAAATTCTCCTGCTGTCTGGTGTTTCTGCTGGCTTTCTCTCATGACACCTTGTCTTTTTTTCTTTTTTAAAGATGTTTTGTTAAGACATTTCCCCCAAGCCATTATGATTACAAATTACCACAGAAAAATAAAGTAGAAAAGAAGTTCTGCTCAAGGGAAGGAAGGACTGACACGTGTGTGTGTGTGTGCGTGTGCGTGTGTTTAATCCCCTACTGACTCTGACAGCAGATTTTTCAAGGCTATATAACTGATGAAACTTTTGGCTCATCGGCATAAAATCTGACTCTAGACTTACCTGCTTTGTTCTTGTAAGATCACTGGAGAAAACATGGGTGAACTTCACATTTTTAAGAAAAGTACCAGCCGCAGCTGCTTGTTTAAATCCAGTTTCTGAAAGAGGTGCATCTACTCCTTGTCCTGTGGTATTAAGTAACAGTAACGTTCAAAAAATATATAAGGATACAAATTAAATCAGATGTGAGAGAACAAAAACAGCATTTATCTATATTTTATTAAAAGATCTCCTTGGCTATTTTTCCATGTAAGTTTTCAGAGAACCAAGAGTATACAAAATTAAGTCACATCCATACAGGCTCCGGTACCCAAATCCAAATGTGTGTCCCTTAAGAATGCTTGCCTGATGGGAACTAGACCATGTGAGAATTCAACTGTCTTACGCTTTCCCATCTGTCATGTCTGTCCACCTCCTCATGAGCTGTGTTTTAGGAGTGCTGGCTGGGCTCTTGTGTTCTCAACTGAGGTGCTATGTTTGGCTGGTAAGATCATCACCTTAAAAGTCCTTTCTTCTGTATCGCTATTGCTTCTCCCCTCTTTCCTTTCTTTTACTTTCTTTTTCATTTTAAAGGCACTCTGGAACCTCTGTTTCCAGGTAGGCTGATTAGACACTCTGAAGGGCCTTCCTACAAATTAAGTGTATGTACACGCGTGCGTGCATGTGTGCGTGTGTGCGTGATGGATTGAGAGAGAGGCCTAATGAACCCAAAGACAGGGCTGAAACTGTCACTCAGAACGCAGCCCAGGGACAAGGAGATGAAGCACTCCCGGATAGGTCAGAGACTGGAAGGAAGGACTGAGAATTCCTAACATACATCCCCTCTTTGGGACACCAGAAAGAAGAGAGAAAATGGAGAGGGAATACGACGACATAATGGTTGAGAATTTTCCAGAAACAAGACTGAAATGAGAGCTAAAAGCAACACAATATAGGCCAAGCAGGATAAATTTTTTAAAAATCCCTCCTAAAAATATTAAGGGAAACTGTAGAACGCCAAAAGCAAACAGGAGATTTTAGTACTAGTTCCAGAGATAGATTACCTGCCATGGAATGCCATCTGGCTGAGCAAAGACTTGAAAGCTAGAAATCAGCAGAATATTCTCTTCCAAGTGCTTAGAGAGCTGTCACTCCAGAATGACTTATACTGAAAGCGGTTGGCTAGAGTAACACAGAGCTCTCTAGATTAGAAATAATTACAACTATTACCATCAACTGATCTTCATTAGGCACGCTTTCAAGGAAAGTACTTCAGGAATGTAGGTCTGAGATGCAAGAACAATGATGAGGTGAGAAACTGCTAATATGTATGTAAATTTAAACAAGCTAAATAATAATGCCTACATCACAGGGTTCAAAAAAGGATAAGACTGAGATATTAGACAGCAGCAATGTAAGTTCTCTGTATTTTCTGAGGAGATGCTAATCTTATTAGGAACTAATGGCATAAATGGCAATAATTGAAAGGTAACTGTTAATTAAAAGACAGATTGTACTAAAAGACAGAATCAAGGTAGCCCTTAGGGCATCTGTAGAAAGAAAGGTTCAGGGTCTCCCAGGTGGCTCAAAGGATTAAGACACAACCTCTGAAGCTATCCGCAGCCACTGCAGTATAAGTTCGATCCCCGGCCAGGAAGCAACCCACATGGCGCAGCAGACCTCTCCTGCCTCGCCCGCTGCTCCTCTCAGCAGTGTATTTCGATCGATCTGCCTGTTCTGTTGTCCACTCTGTCTCTGGTGAATCCTTTCACTGCCTCCACACCTCTGGCCTGAACCCCAGCTCTTGTAGGCATAAATAAATAAATCTTTAAAGGAAAAAAGAAAGGTTCAAAGGAAAAGGATGAAAAGAAAATACATGCCAGGCAAACCCCAACCCCAAACACCACTATAAGAAAGGCAGGACTGTATGACCAAAGTCTTAGTAGTGATTGTGAGGATCGCTGCAAATCACCAATCACCCATGTCAGGCACTGAAAGATAACTTTACCATCAAAGTGGGAAAGTGAACTTAGTTCACTCAAATATGGATAGTATAGGTCCTGCAGGTAAATTTACAAAATTGGCGAAGTGTAAGCGATTTGAATACCAAACTCAAGAATGTTGATTCTTTGATAGATACCTCAAAACCCAACTATTAGGGCACAGAGATCTTTCTCAAGCAGACAATGGTACATTAACAAAAAACTGAGCATGTTATCAAATTTCAAAGACGTATTATCAAAAAAAAAAAAAAAAACACCACCACACTCTCAGAACACAAGCAATCACATAATTCAATCACTGAAGATGAAGAATACAGAAAGCCCAAAAGCCCCATCTTCTGGAAATTTTAAAAACAGTTCTGAATACCTCACTGATGAATAAAGAAATCACAATGGAAATTTAAGATACTGATGCTACACACTTATGAAATGACTACATATTAAAACTGTAGATGTGCAAGAAAAATGCTATTTTTAAAATAGATGTCAATACTTCTTTTTTAAAAAGAGGCTGTAACTTAAAAGAATTATGCATCTGACTTAACAAAATTAAGGACAAAGAGCCTGCTGAACACAAAAAATTTACTCATGCTCAGCTCTAAGGATACGAAACAAATAAGCAGCACCAGAGGACAGAGTGGTTAGGGTTAGAAGTCCAAAGGAAAACAAAGGTTCCAGTAACTACCAGACTGGTTTCTAGAAGAGGGACTATGAAATCAAACTCTGCAAAGCCCAGATGTCCCTCACCAAACAAATCAAACCAAATGCTCTTACAATCACAGCCCAGAAAGAGCATGTCTAGCTGAAAGTCCCCCCAAGATGTTCTTTCAAAGCCAGACTAGCTGGTTCTCAGGGAGATTAAAAGATCCGAGTCCAAATTAACAGAGCCAGGGAGGAAGAACTTGTTCAGAATAAAGCAACAATCCCACGTGAGAACAGCAGTCCTCTTTTCAAACCCCTTCTTTGTTACTGCTAAAAATAATATAACTATGGCAGCAGAAAGAGAACATTAACACCAGCCAGTAAACTCATGTTTCCTAATATGAAATCATTTTATATCCTGGCAGTTATATTTTAAGACAACTACCCCCAATATAACTATTTAATCAGCTGACTGGGCAATTTTGACACTACCAATGAACAATTAGGGTGCTGTTCTCTACATCCATTTCATTTAAGAGACTTATTCCTCCTGATTACCTTCTGCTGGGATCCTATTTCTGTGACTGTGATGCTTTAATTCTGTAATCCCAACTCATAATACAGAACTGCCCCCAGGCGACCCCGCCCCACCAAATCTGATTAACACATATCGCATTAACACTAAAAGAGAGAACCAAAACAAAAGAGTATACCAACCTTGAATTATTTTCTCCTTGTTAAGTCTTGTTTCGCCACTAAAACAGAGAAGGGGAGGGAGAATCTTTATTACCAAATTGTTATTTCTGAGATGAGAGAAAAATCAGCAACCAAAGGTAATGATATTCACAAAAAACAGCATATGAGCTTTGTTACATACTTCATAATCTAGCCTGTACAACCCCAAGTTACTCTAAACTAATATTTTCAATCGTCTATGCTCGATGTATACAACCGAAGAACTAAGCATTTCAAACTGCCTCAAATTAAAATGTATAGATCAAAAACCAATCTTAAGTGAATTGCAGGTGGGAAAAATTCTATTAAAAGCATACCTTTGATTTTTGCTGAATAATCTTGATAAAATAAATACATTGATCAAACTACTTCCATAGGCAGCAGGACCAAAACATGCAAGTCCATCCGCCTGTGGTCAGACCACATGAGCAAGGAACAAGGACTCTAAACAACATGGGAAAGAATCAGGCAAGTCTTCCAATCCCCACCATCTCTCTGTTCCTAGATTTTTCTCAAGCTCTTCCATTTTGTCCTGTTGAGAACTGTCTTGCAGACCAAGCTAAAGAACTGAGGTTTGGGTACTAACTATATTTTTAAGAATTAAAAAAAGCAAACCAATTTTGAAGCAACCAGAAGATTGACAGGAGTAGAAACTTTGGCACAAAATAATTGTCCATGGAGGCTGGGGTGGGTGGGTGAACCGAGACAAAATTGATGACACAGTAGACCCAAAATAAGTCATCGCCAAGGAGATTTCTGTTGAAGTTCTTTTGAGTTCTTTCGATGTGCTAAGTACAGTGTGAGTGTCTGGAGATGCAAAGACTGGGGTGTGGGGATGGCAGGGCATTGCCCTCCAAGACAATTGGTTTGTTCTAAGTGGACAGAACTGGGAATGGTGGGTCAAAGCAAACAGGTTTCTTCAGATCAGTTATTTCCATCTTTGAAATCAAATGTCTAAGGCCACATGTATACCCTGCCGTGTGAATGAGACAAAATCTTTTCAAGTCACTTCACCTCCATCTATCAGGCTATCAAAGCCCAATATAGGTTAAGTGTTGAGAATTCTGTTTAGTTTTTGTAAGCACTCAATAGTTGTAAGTCATTTTTGGAAGATCTGTATAAAAGCCAATGATTGAACTTACTGTATTTTTAATTTTTTAATGCTTTAAAAGTTGTGAAACAATATAAAAAACATTACTATAATACCAGCACCTGGGTAACACCATCCAAAGTGACAAATCACTGCCAGTCTCCCAGACTCAGTCCCTTTCCAATGACAGGATCCCCCTCCTGCCTCCCCCTAACCCCCCGACCCCCGCCCAGCCCAGGGGATCCACTACCTGGTCCTTTCATAATCATTTGCTTGCCATTCTTCAAAAGCTTCCCCACTCCCCTTGCAGAGTACAGATTCGCTTGGCTGCTATTGAACTTTATAACGAATTGCATGTTAATGTATGTACTCTTCTGTGTGTTGCTTCTTTGGGTCAACATTGTGAGATACAACAAAGTGATTGAATGTGGCTCTCATTACTGTATAATATTCACACTTAGGACTTTACCACAACATACTTATATGGCCTAGTGTTGATATTTGGAAGGCTGTTTCCACTTTGGGGCTATGCTGCTACCACTATGTTTGTACAGAGTGCATCAGATTCTCTAGGGCAGTGGTTCTCAAAGTGTGGCCCCTGGACCAGTACCATTGGCACTGTCTGGAAAATTGGAAATGCAAATTCTCAGGCCCCACCCCACCGAATTAGACACTCAGAGGTGATATAAAAAGAACGCTAACTTTAGAAAGGTGGAGAGTAAAGAATAAACATTTGGATCTGCACAGACACTGGAAGGGTACACAAAAACACTAAGAACTCTTGTCACCCGGGGGTGAGGTGAACAGAAGATTAAGGGGACTTGTTCTGACTTCTCCACATGCAGAGGTATCACAACAAATGAATGAAATTACACAGAACTATTTACCACTAATTTTCCAATATTATTTTTATTAATATTTACAAAATATTTCTCATGCTCCAAAATCATATGAAATGGATGTAAAAGAAGTTTTTAACCTCGAGCATTTGGAGGGGTAAAGCATCCAAGGCAATATCGGGGAAACTGTCATTTCTAAGCAGAAAGTGGTTTCCCTAATTTAGTTCACTTCCTATCTTAGACTCATAATCTTGTTGAGACCAAGAAAAAAAGGGAACTGCCGTTTAAATATGAGTAACATCCTCTTTAGACAGTGGCTTTATAGCCAATTCAGTTTCCAGCAAAATTCAGAAACTCTCCCTCCTTCAATCCCATAATTATTTTGAACCTCAACGGTTTTGCCTATTTTATGTGGATTATAAACTCTCTGGGTCATTTATAGATTTCCAGGATGAGGAGAAATGTGATAATTTTGTCAGTCCAGGTCTTTTATACAAATTCAGCAAACGTGATTACTTTGTGTATGTTTGCTGAAAAGATTAGCTCAGGATTTTCATTCCATCCCAACAGTTGGTTTGATAAAAGATTAAGAATCAAAGATATCAAAATGTCATCCTATAAAAATGGAATCCAGTACTTAAGTCACTTTATAAGGGTACCGCCCCAACATCTAACCATTTTCAGTAAATGGAGACAAAAATAGCTATAATAAAGTGAAGAATTCCATTTAGCTCTAACTCAGAAGAAACTGCTACAGACATTGTATTAGTAACGATCACTGGTTTCCTATAGGGCATTTTTGCCTTCAAATCACTTTGTAAATGTTAGAGTAAGAATCTAGAAACAGAATATTTTTCCAAAAACTTTCATAAATATTTAGTTTTATAGCTTTTATCAGCTTTATCAAGAAGTTTGTATAAATCCTTGACGCAACTGTTTAAAGTCTGTTTGAGGAGTGGGAAAGAAAAATAGGTGGCTAAAATAGTTTTACGATTAATCTACTTTCCTTAGCCAAAGTTTGGCTTGTGATAGCAGCAGAGTGGAGAGAGCTGAAAGGTCAGAGGAATATATACTTTAAGGGAGTCAGGAATAACACCACTCATTTGCAAAATCTGCAGTAGGATCCATTTCCAAAACAGAACACCCGACTCTGCAAAAATCCAAATGCTTATGCCAAGTCTTATGACCTGTCTTGTACAGGCTCTGCAAACACGCATCGTTCATTTTGTAGATTATCATATTGCTGTTCGCTTGAAAAGGTATTTTATTTTGCTAATTTTGGTTTAAAGTCCATGGCATTTCTTTACAAATCACATAGAAAGCTTCATTTCCCAATCATTTCCTTTTAAGGCATTCAAATCCAACAGACAAATAGTTGACAAATTATGGAAAATTTGGGGCAAGTTTTCAAAATAGATATGGTTTAGTGTACATGGAAATATAAAGCCTCACCTAATATTTAATGAATACAGCTTTATCCTAATTCCTCTACACCAATTAAGTTACTTGAAATGTAGAAGATTTCAAGGGCTAGTAGATGGCTGGAGATGGAAAAAATGTAAGAGGCCCAACTCATGATGTATTTTTGTTTATATATCAATTAATCCTAGTTGCAGGGGCTCTCCGAAGTGATCAGCCTCATTTCCAGAAAACAAATGTCACTTGACGGTTACACCTATCTTTATAAAAGTTTACAGATGACCTAATATTTCTATTGTTTGCTTTATGAATGACCAGAACAATGACTGCCTTTCAACAAAATATTAACTGCCAACAGAGGAAGACAGCAATTATGTTTTGTTATCGATAACTTCACTAATTCATCATATTTAAGTCACCAAAAGTCGATTAAAAAATGTTTTAAGAGGTTGGCAAAAATGGAAGTGAAATGGGATGGTTTTGCAGATGACTGACTGCAGATGACTGACTGGTGTGCAGTCAGTCAAACACCTACAGATAACATTACAAGGGAGCTAGGGCCTTCAAGATCTCCTGATAGAAGCACCAGCCTACACAGGTTGGAGTTTTCAACAATGCTGTGCTTTAAAATCATGAGAAGTTAGTTTAATAATATCAGATGCCTTGAAGTTTGAAATTTTGCACATTCTATTCCAAAAATGATACACACTGGTGGTTTTACTTCCAAATGTGAAGAAAAATATACACATAGCAACAGTACAGGATTTGTTTGAACATAAAGAAATTGTTTATAAAAGTTTTCTTGCAGTATCTGAAAATGCACTATTCCATAAAAGTACCCAAATCTTTAAAAAATAAAAACTGATCATGCCATCAAAACATGTGACTATCTCAAGAGTTAGACGCAATCAAGTAACAGAAAACACATGTGCCCCATTTTCATTCCACTAACGGAGCCGATCTTGCTGATTCCAATAAGAATCATTATAGTTAACTATGGTGATTAGTCTCAATTCAATTTGAAATAATTTCTGTTCCTGAAAGGTTCACCAATTTCTAGCTTTGACAACTCTGGAGGGGTAAAAGGATGGTTCAAGAGGACAAGAGCTAACCGTAACTCTATCATTTATTTCAACACTTCTGCTCCACTTTCCTATGAATACAACAGAACAGAACGAACAATTCTTATAAACTGTAAGAGAAATTAAAATTAGCCTCTAAAATGGCTGGTGATATTTAACTAGGTTTTAAAGAAAGAAAACGGGAAGAGGGGCCTCCCTGGTGGCGTAGCGGTTGAGCGCTGGGTTGCGAAGCTGCCCGAAGCCTCCGCGGCGCCGGTTCGATCCCCGGCTGCTCCCCAGCCACCGGAGGAGGGTCCCACATGGCGCGCAGACCTCTCCTGCCGCCCACCGCTCCCCTCAGCAGTGTACTTCGGTCCTTCTGCCTGCTCTGCTCCCCTCTCTGGCTCTGGTGAATTCTCTCACCCTCTCGCGCTTCTGACTGTACCCAGTGCTTGTATAAATAAATAAATAAAAAATAAATCTAAAAAAAAAAAAAAGACTGCAAAAAAAAAAAAAAAAAAAAACGGGAAGAGGAGAGCGTTTCAGTTGAGAGAATAGTTGCTTTGGCTCAAATCCGCCCCCACCCTCAACTTGCCATGTGGTTTTAAGCAAGTCACCAGCCCTCTGTGTCTCAATTTCCTCCCCTGCAAACTGGGAAGGAGTCCTTCCCTCCCTGGATGGTTAGAATTTAATTAGAACGATGCCTAGCACATAATAAATTCCTTCTAGGATTTCTATGAGGAATCAATTAAGAAATCAAGCTCTTTATAAGAAGGAAGGACAAAATTCACATTCATCATGTAACTATTTGGAAGAAGAGTCTACATAAGGATCACCTTATATTTCAAAAGAGGTGGTTTAACCCAGATTTCCTACAACTTCTGAGAATCAGCTGCATGTCAAACACCAAGCTGTCTGAGTGAAGGCACCCAGAAGGTGAGTGAGTTATCAATGGAAGAAAGGGCAACCAGGATGCCACAGTTCCTGTTCTGCTACTGATTAGTTCTAGACTATAAGGAAGTCATAAAACTTTCTATAAAATGGAGAAGGGGAGAAGAAATAGGAACTCAACTTCAGATGATTGCCAAGATTACTTTCCTATGAAGGAAGAAAGACAGTAAAAATAGCAGCTCAAGTCAGCTTGACGAGGCTAGATAATATGAGTATTTCTTGTGAATTCCATTAAGACAAAAATGGTGTCTTATTTATCTGTACAACCCAGTCCACTAGCACAAAGTACCTATTCAAAATGCTGACCCGGAAACTTACTGAGGATTACCTGTATTTGTATTAGTGTCCTTGAGGAAACAGAAGCTGCAGAATTCTCAGATATATGTCTTACCTTCCCTTATGTTACTAGAACCTTTACCTCGTTCCCATTTAATTCTCACTCTAACCTGGTCAGGTAGGTCATAGCGTTATCCTCCTCATCTTACATCTCGGGAAACCGAGATGGGAAAGATTTAAGTCAGTTAATTGAAACCCAAGTTACGAGGCTCCCAGCTGGAGCCTGATTCTAACCTAGGTCTATCTTGCTTCAAAAAAAATCTGTGCACCTCACCGTTCTGCATTTCACTTCCCATTAACACTCGGCAAACCAATGTTGAAAGGGAACGAGACAAGAGATCTAAAGTCTTGTCAGCATTTAGCTCCAAACATTATGATAAAAATATGTGTTGGGGTGATGTGATCAGCTGAGACGAGAGCGGGGGCCTCTTTTCTCTCCCGGGTATGTAATCTCTGGAGGAAGAAATAAATCTCAGATACAGGCATGGGGGGGACGGGGGGGGGCTGACTGTCCTGCAAATGAGGGGGTAACGAGGGGGAAGCAGCAGCCGACATCCAAAACAGCAGCTTGGGATGAGGCTGCACCCTCTTTGGAACCTGTCTGGGAGGCGAAATGGATGCACAGAGCAGTCCGGAGGCGAGACTGTCCTTCTTCAGCTCTGGCTCTGCACCAGGTCGCCGGGAACCAGGATCATGTGCCCCCCCAGACCTCACTCTCGGCTGCAACGCCGGACTGATGCTATTTCAGACCTGCCTCCCCGGCTGCAGCGCGCGGGGAGGAGGGGTGGAGAGGAGACAGCGCGGACGCAAGCACTTGGAAAATAGCCGCATCCGGGCCCGCCGCCCCGGGGGTGCGCCGGACGGGGCGAGCGGAGTGACAGGTCAAAGGTCCCTTCGCGCACCCCAAACCCACTCCAAGCAGAGAAAGGGAGAAAACCCCGCGACAGCAATACTCACTGGCGGATGACCGTCAGGGCGAAGCGCACCATGCTCCCTGGCGCCGGGCCGGAGGGCAGCCAGGCCGCAGCTCCGCTCGCGTCGCCGGCACCCGCGGCGCCCGGCCCTCCGCACTGCGGGCTCGCCTCGCCCACCCCACTTCCGCCCATCCCCGCGGCTTAGCCGGCCCCGCTGCTATAGGCCCAGCCGGCCTTGACGTCCTCCCAGGAAAGCCAATCAGGACGCCGGGAGGCAGACAGGTCGCAGGAGATTGGCCAGGGGCGAGGCCCCGCCCAGGACCGTGGCGCTTGCGCCCCCGCGCGCGGGGCTGTGATTGGCGCGCGGCAGGTGCGTGCGCCCCGCCCTGAGCCCCGCCGTGGAGGCGATTCCTGCCCGGGCAGGCTCACATCCTGCGCACGGGGGTAGATAAGCGAGCCGGGGCTTGGATTTGGGGCTGATCTGATTTGAGGCTGGAAGGCTGCCAGGAGGGTGTGCAGCGCCCGCCAGAGCGCGTCGTAGGAGGCTGGCTGGTGAACGTCACACACTGGGGCTGCCTGCTGGGACCCACCGGTCTGCAGTCCTTGGCTGCACCTTGACCCGCTCCCTCCCGGAGCCGTTTTCCAGGCTAGGCCCCGTCCTTGACTTACTGAGCCCGATTTTGCTAAAGAATCCTGCTAAGCCAGTTCATGGAGGTTCCCTGGCCCGCTAGTCAGCCTGCCTTCCTGCGCTTCATACCTAAGTTCCACCTAGTAGTTTTCCACCCGCTCCCTCTCCCTCCCCCCGGCTCTACATCTCCTTGGGTCCCTGTTTTATTTGGAGTTGAAGATCATCTCTCTCCCACTTTGCAAAAATCCTGAGTAGTCTTCCCGCATTTTTATTTATTTATTTTTATTATTATTTTTTAAAGATTTATGTATACAAGAAGGGGGGTACAGTTCAGAGGCGCCGGAGGGTGAGAGAATTCACCAGAGAGAGTGGGGAGCAAAGCAGGCAGATGGACCGAAGACACTGCTGAGGGGAGCAAGGAGCGAGGCAGGAGAGGTCTGCCACGTCGTGTGGGTTTCTCCCTGGCCGGCCGGGAACCGAACTGGTGCTGCAGAGGCTGCAGACAGCTTCATAGTGCAGGGCTCAACCCGCTGCACCCCACCGGGGAGGCCCCTATTGTTTTTTAAAGATTTATTTATGCATACAAGAGCTGGGGTACAGGCCAGAGATGTGGGGGCAGGGGTGAGAGGAGTCACCAGAGACAGAGTGGGGAGCAGAACAGGCAGACTGACTGAAATACACTGCTGAGGGGAGCAGCAGTGACAGAAGAGGTCTGCCGCGCCATGTGGGTTGCTCCCTGGCCACCTGGGGGATCAAACTCGTGGTACAGAGGCTGTGGATTGCTTCATAGTGTGGTGCTTAACCCCTTGCGCCACCAGGGAGGCCCTTCTGGCATTTTTAAATGGCCTCTGGTAAATAATTTAACAGCCTTTGGGGACTTAGTCAAACTCTGAAGCCCTCAAATACATGATAGGTAAAATGGGCTAAGACCATCTGGCATTGACACAGGCAAAGCTTAGTTATATTAGCTTTAGGTTGGTAAGTTTGTTAGGAGAGTTATCCTGTTTCCTACCCCAAATGGGTGGCGCTGAGCAGCCAGGTGAAGCTATAGAGCAAGGAAGGCAGGTGGGCTGGGGAAAGACATGGAGAAGAGCTTGCTTGCTTCTAGGCTTTGGACTTGCATTAGGGGCTTGGGAGACTTAGAGGAGATACATGAAAGAGGAGGCATGGGTGAGAGACGTGGGGAGGTTGACAATGGCAGCTATTACTGATTTTGTTCCTTTTGTCCCAGCTTTCTGGAACCTGTTTCAGAACCCCTTTCCTATGGTGCCCTTCCAGAAAGTGCTTTAGATTTGTGGCATGCTTTTGGACCTCAGTGACCCCACTTCAGGCTAACCCTATCTGGTTGGGCATTTACACAGGAGAGGATGGGTAATTCAGGGGTGTTTTATTGGGAAACTAATATCCTCTGCTCTCTCTCTCTTTCTCACTCTCTCCTGCTCTCTCCCGCTCTCTCCCCACTAATTCTATTAAAATTCTTTTACATTTAAGTGTTAGCTTTGCCTTTGTGTGTTCAGATTGCCTTTAGAGCACGCAAGTTCGAGGGCCCAGGGGTGCCCTTTGGTCACATGTGCTAACAAATTCTCATATTTTATAATGTGTTTATTTCCTGAATCCTCAATTAATATCCAAGAAGGGTTTAAAAACAGAAGTGATGCATGGGACAGAGATTGATAGGCACACGTTTCAAAGACAGTTTCACATGTCATAGCTGACCCTCAGGACATCTTGGAGTTGCACAGAGTGGCTATATGATCTTCACTTAAGAGAGGAGAAATCTGGCCTAGAAAGAAAAAAGCAATTGGTCCAGCCTCACAGCTGTTGACACGGGGCTAGTGAGAGATTTTTCATATCTAATTCCACATTGGAATCATCCAGGATCCTTGAATGCCAAACTGCACCCCAGAAAAATTAAATCTGAATCTCTGTGGGAGGGACCTAGACATCAGTACTTTCTTTTTAATCCCCAGATGTCTCTTACATGCAGCCAATTTTGAGAGCTGCGAAGTGTAAAGCTGTGCTTCTTAAACTTTAACAGTGCACACAGATCACCTGGGATCTTGTTCAAATGTTATTTTTGATTTAGTAGCCCTGAAGTGGGATCCAAATTCAGCATCTCTAACAAACTCCCAGGGAACCTGGAGGCATTTTCAGGATGAGGGTGAAGGAATAATTGAGAAGGCCCTAATGGGGGAGGTGTACACTGCCAGAACATAAAATGTTCTGAATGCCTGGATGGGTGAATCAGTCCAATAAATAATCCTAGAAATTTGAACTAGAAAAATAAAGTTATATTAGGTAATTATCTGACGACTAATACAGGAAGAAAGCACAGAGGAAAAAATTAGAGTCATAATTTATGAGTGAGCATGTAGACTGAAGCGATGTTGGAAGAAAAACACAAATAATAGAGACTTGAAAACAGATTTACAGGTAGAGGATAAGAACATTGCTTGCTCTCTTGAGAACAAGCAGTGTTCTTGTTGGATATAGAAATGACTCAGTGCCCAACAATGGGTGAAGGGAGTTAGTAGCTATGGTATACATACCCAGTGAAAAACTACTTGGCCATAAAAAGATGAAATCTTGCCATTTGCAGCAACATAAATGGACCTTGAGGGGATTATGCTAAGTGGAAATAAGTCAGAAGGAGAAAACAGTAGTAGGTGATTTCACTCATGTGTGAAGATAAAGGGGAGAAAAGCAATAGAACAAACAAACCAAAGCCAAAAGGAAAACCTTAGATACTGACCGCAGAAGGGTGGTGACCAGAGGGGAAAGAGACGAGAAAGATTGGGTGCTGAGTGCACATGGGGTGGTAGGTGTGGTGTAATATCTACAGTTGCTGGGGAGAGACATTGGACACCTGAAATCTAAAGAGTGTTGTAAACTAATGGTACCTCAAGAAATAGAAAACCAAAAAATTTGGATACATGAGTCTATCTGTATCTATATGATATCTATCATATGTATGTCTATATATCTTTGACAAATTGATTATAGGTATTCTTCATTCATTTAATAAATTTTAATTGAGTATCTACTATGTTCCAAAAGTTTTGAAATGAGTCAAGGAAATAATGAAACAGAGCCAGTATTTGCCCTCATAGTTCTTGCCTATGAGGGTTGGCAAATAATCAAACAAGCATCAGGCAGATAAGGAAAAAGCCATATAGGAGTTTAATAATAACATGTGTATCCCCTGTATGCATGAGATAAACCTAGTGGTTGGAGTTGCTTATCCACTAACTTTAGATGCCATCTTAAATAGCTTAGCTAGGATGGGGGAAATTGGGGAAAGAAATGGGAAATTCATTTAGGGCATTTCCTGGAGAAAACAAATTTAATTTTGCTTTCTCAAAAGAAAAGATAATGGGAACAGGCCTTCCTGGAATAGACTCTGACATAGAGAAGTTGAGATACAAAAATCAAAAGCAGCCTCCCTGGGATCCCTCCTATAAAACCTCTTGCCAATGACATGTTTTGGGGTGGCAGATTTTTGCTTCCCTATGAATTCAACCTCTCTCAAACTCCTGTTGCTGTTGATATTTTGACCTCCTCCCTTAAATCACAAATAGCATCATGAAAACCAATATCCTAAATGTATGGGACGCAGCAAAGCAGTAATAAGAGGAAAATATATAGCAATAGAAGCTCACATCAAGAAACAAGAAAGAACTCAAAGAAACAACCTAATCTCGAAGCTCAAAGATCTAGAAAAAGAACAACAAAAAAACCCCAAAACCAGTAGAAGAAAAGAAATAATAAAAACCAAAGCAGAAATAAATGAAATTGAAACTAAAAAAACAATCCAAAAGATTAATGAAACCAAGAGCTGGTTCTTCGAAAAAATCAATAAAATAGACAAACCCCTAGCCAGGCTCACAAAGGAAAAAAGGGAGAAAGCACAAATAAACAGGATCAGAAATGAAAGAGGAGAAATCACAACGGACACAGCAGAAATAAAAAGAATAATCAGTAACTACTATGAAGAGTTGTATGGAAACAAGTTCAACAATCTAGAGGAGATGGACAAATTCCTACAACTCTACAATCACCCAAAGCTAGATAAAGAAGAAATAGAACACCTAAACAGACCAATTACAAGCAGCGAAATTGAAATGGTAATCAAAAACCCCCCCAAAAACAAAAGCCCAGGACCTGATGGATTTACAAACGAATTCTACCAAACATTCAGAGATGAATTGGTGCCTATCCTTCACAAACTCTTCCAAAAAATTGAGAAGGAAGAGACAATACCAAACACGTTCTATGAAGCCAACATTACACTAATACCAAAACCGAGTAAGGACAACACAAAAAAGGAAAACTACAGGCCAATCTCCCTAATGAACACTGATGCAAAAATCCTCAACAAAATTTTAGCTATCAGAATCCAACAATGTATACATAAGATAATTCACCACGACCAAGTAGGATTCATTCCAGGGACACAAGGATGGTTTAACATCCGAAAATCAATCAACATTATCCAAC